TGCACAGCGGCGAGGGGGCGGTGGCGCCGTAAGCCCAGCCGCACGCTCGCGCACGCGCACGCCTTCCCCTCGGGTGTCCGTGTGGCCAGAGCCGCGTTCGGGAACAGTCGAGTCTGGGCCTCCTGACTTGGGAGAGCTTCCCGGTTCAGCCTTGGGCTGTACCTCTGAAGCCGCGCCTCTGTGGGCGACGTCGCGTCCTGTGTCATGGGTGTCCTCCCTCGCACACGCGTTCTGGTCGCACGCCTCGCACCTCTGTGCCCCCTATCGACGTTCCCTCGCCCTTCCTTTCTAGCTGGATGTCGCGTGCTGGCGACAGTGACGCAGACGTGTCCCTGCCTTAGGCCTCACAGCCTGGGTCCAGGCCCCCGAATTCCTGTTCCCCACCCCGATTCCATCTCCTTCAGATTAAATTTACCTGTCAGCTGGATTGGACAAATCCCAAGGGTCAGGACAACAGAAGGCTTATTTCAGCGTTTGATCTGCCCGTCGGAGTGAGTCGCAGCTGTCCTATCTAGACATGCAATACACTATCAGAATAAACATGCAACACTGAATATTTTAAGTAAATACTGTGGCAAGTGGACGTTAGCATGATTGCTGCCGCAGCAGAATGTCAGGAAGACTAAAATGACAAACCGCACGTGTTTAATTTTAAGACTCTCACCATGTTTAGTAAGATTCCAGAACAGCCTGTAGGTGTGGCCGCACAGGCACACAAACACACCCAGCCCGGACAGGAACTGTACCGTATGGTTACTCTTTTGTCACTGGGATGGGAATTTAAATTTCCTTCTGTGTGCTTTCTAATAACAGAACATTCGTAATCAGAAATTGTACTTTTTTTAAATGCTGGACTTAGCCTGGCACATACCTGTGATCCCAGCACTTGGGAGGCTGAGTCAGGAGGATCTCCAAGAGCTCGAGGCCAGCCTGGGGTAATATTGAGACCCTCTCTCTAAATTAACTAATTAATTTTAAAACTGTTGGACTTCTGGAAAGTGTTTTACTTTTGAAATCCTCATCAATCTTGGAAGGAAATTTCAGACCAGAAACATCGAAAATGGGATCCTAGGAAACCTATGTTCCTCTTCTTTTCTTCACTTTTTAAATTTTTAAATTTTTATTAGTGCATGTCTTCAGTACATAATAATTACATTCATTGTGGGGAGCTGCCGGGGTTGCTGTCATTTTACAACAGCCATTTAGCCAGCACTTGGGAGATGGAGGCAGGACAAATTGGAGGCCAGCCTGGACTACACAGTGAGTTCAAGGTCATCCTGAACCACATAGTGAGACCTATCTCAAAAATAAATAAGTAAACCGTTTAAAACTTGAGTCTGTGTAAACTTTGTTTACAGAAACAATACATAGAACAGAAACATACACTAATTTCAGTATTTTTCTTAAATCAAAATCCCCAGGGAGCCTTCTCAATGCTAGTATTTTCTGTATTCTGAATGAATCACACCTAACTTTCAGTGCAGTGAGTCCACATCCTAGGGGTTTGGTGCACTTCTAAAGAAAAACAGTCTGCACATGTCTGAAAGGTATACATTCCCTTATTTAATAGCACTTACTAACAAGAAACCCTTTGTTTCTTTCTTACACGTGTTTCTTCCTGAACTGCCATAGTAGTGATTAAAAACTTTCTTCCTCTTCCCTTGCGTGCTTGAAGGTAAGGGATTTGTAGCTGCTATTTTAAAAGCAGCCAGGACTCAGAAAATGTGCAATTGTGTGCTTCACTTTCTTACGCTTTGAAACTCCGGCCTTCTCTGTGACCGGGGCCGGCTTACCCAGAAGGAAGCTGCTGGGCCACCAGGATGACTGGCGTGTGTTACTGTGCATGAGGACACTGCCAGACCAGGACTTGGGGAAAGGAAAGGACCTGCAGGAGGATAATGGCCTTCTTCCCAGCAAATTCTCTTTTTCTCCAGGGTTTTGTTTTGTTTAGTTTCGTTTTTGTCTTTTTGAGACAGGGTCTCTCTATGCAGTTCAGGTTGGCCTTGAGCTCACTTTGTAGCCCAGGCTGGCCCTGAACTCCCAACGATCCTCCTGCCTCAGCCTCCCAAGTGCTGGGATTACAGGCGTGCGCCACCATGCCCAGCAGTTTTTGAGGATTTGAGGGTTTATTTTCTCTCAAAGGAAGAAAAACACAAACTTCACAATGCAGTGTTGTGCAGAAAATTCAAGAGATGTTTCCTAAGGGATTTTGTGGTACAAGTCTACCAATAAATTTAGGAAAAATAAAATGGACTACAATAAAAAAAAAAAAAAACAATGTCAGTAATAACCCAACCTGAACTATGTTAGTGTCCTACATAGAACATATCTCTCTCTCTACTGTTTTTGTTTTTAATTTCCCTTTTGAGGAGAATCTAGAAGGGAAATAGTTTTCTTATTTGCATAAGTCTCTGAGTCTTGCTTCAGCTCGTGAAATGCGCACCAGCATGGCTTCTTTTGCCCATTCTGGTGCTTGAACAGTGTTTGTAAGCCAGTAGGCTAATTAGGAAACAGTGCCCCATTGGAGTGACAGCCTTTTCCTCCCCTTGTGGACCCAGAAGCAGAGTGCTTTGCCTTTCCCGTGGAATTTTAAAATAATAGTAAAGAAAAACACACGCATGCCATCTTGTGGAAATCAGTGGTCGACTTCATGGCTCCAGGGAAGAATAATGATTTCAACTGCAGTTCTCTGGCAATTGGGATTTCTCTTTAATACAGGAAGAAATAAAGATATGTAAGAGGAAATAAAGTAAAATAAAATAAAATAAAGAGGAAATAAAACCAGGCATAGTGGCTCACACCTGTAATCTCAGCACATGGCCGGCTGAGGCAGGAGGATTGCCAAGAGTTTGAGACCAGTGTGGGCTTCCTATCAAGACCCTGTAAAGAAGAAGGAGAAGGAGAAGGAGAAGGACAAGAACAAGAACAAGAACAAGAACAACAAGAAGCAGAACAAGAAGAACAAAAAGAACAAGAAAAAGAAAGGAGGAGAGGGGAGGGGCAGGAGGAGAAGGGGAAAGGAAAGAAGCAGTGGGGGAGGGGACAAGGAAGAAGAATAAAAAGAAGAAGACAAAGAGGAAGACGAATACATCTGTGACTGCAGAACACAGGGACTCCACTTTCATCAATTCATGGGTGCCAAGTTGAAGTTTCGTTTTTGCAGTGTGGTTTTGTGGATATGGGGACCAGCACCTATTCTTCCCTTCATCTCCTCCACTGGCACAGACTGGGCACTGCATGGTTTGTGGCTGTGCCACAGCCATGTCACACCAACACTGGTGCTGTTGACACAACTGTTCTCAAGGGACAGTCCCCTCTGCAGTTTCATTCCTCTTCCCCATAGTTCAGGCTGCTGCAAGGGGCCAAAGGAAGCAGTGTTTCTTCTGGAGTGTTTTCTTACAGGCTTATTCCTGCCAAATACCTGCTGAACACTTGGAGGAAATGGGAATTTCTGTACTTCTTAGAGAAGGGAGGCTATCACAGGAAAGCCCTTGGCCAGGAGAAATGTTTAAGGATACTTCACTTTGTCTTCACACAAATCCCACTGAAACCATTATCATCACTGTATTTTCATGAAAGGGAAACTGTTGCCCAAGATCACTCATCCAGGGAAACAGGGTCTTGCTGATATTTGACCTGACAATTCCAAACCTGTGCTGTCTCCTGTAACACTCTCTCCCCTCTTTTGAAAAGGAAAAGATTCTCTGTGACTTCATCAATATCTACTCTCACTGTTGTGATAAAGATGTCTGTTATGGTTTGTGTCTAGATGTCCCCCCAAAGCCTCATGCAGTCATGGGAAGGGGGCACTTTTCAGAGGTGATAGAATCTAAAGGTTGTTATTGATGCATGGTCCAATGCTGGGATTAAGGATGTGAGTGCTACACCCACCATAGGGTGAGTAGCCTGCATACAATACAAGGGACAGAAAGAGGCTTGTCCCTGCTGCTCTCTTGTTGCTTTCACTGTCTTCCACCACCATGAAGTGTTGCTCCTCTGTCATGTACCACCCTGCCTTGGAGCCAGCAGATTATGGACTGAAACCTCCACAAACCGTGAGCTAAGTCAACCTTCCCCTTTAACTGTGGGTGTTGGGTATTTTGTCTCAGCCGAAAAGTAACTAAAACAGAATTTGGTACCAGGAGTGGGGTCGTTGCTGTGACTAGATATGACCATGTGTTCAGCAGCCGTTGAGAATGGCTTGTGGGAAGAGTTTGGAAAGGTTGGGAAGTGCTGGCTGAAAAAACAGAGCTAGAATTCCTTAGGTTGGTCTGTATGGGAGATTATAGTTAGAGCTCAGAAGACCAGAAGACTGATAGAAATCCTGCCAATAAAGACCAAACTTGGGAGGTTTCTGCTGGGAACAAGGACTGCATTGGCTGTTGGACTCCAAATGAGGTGTGTTATGACTTGGCAGAAAGCTTGTCTGCATTTTGATCATATCCAGAGACTACCTGAGACTGAGCTTAAGGGTGGCAGACTAATTAATCTAGCAGAAGAAATTTCAAGGCAGTGTAATGCTGAAGCAGTGGCATGGTTATTATTGAGGTTTTAAAGTCAGATTTATGTTGAGAATTAAGAGCAAAAAGGCTAGTAGAATGACTTAAAAGATTGTTATTTTGTCAGAAACACTTTTAGAAAGGAAGCTCCTTTAAAGCTGTGGACTGGAAAGATAGAGCAGAGATCTTGGTTGCTGATAAGGAACAGAATAGAAAAGATAGCCTGGGGGCATCACCAGAAGAAGCAGACTCTGCCCTTTGCAGCATCAAAATTACAAAAGTGAAAGACTGATTTGAGAAGAAAACCGCAGAACACCATGTTCCAGAGTGGTGGAAGCCTAGAGAACTTGTTCCTGACAATTGGATTCAGAGCACTCAGCAATCCAGGCACTCAACCCCTACAGGCAAGAGAGAGAAAGGCCTGGCTACTGCTCCAGCTGGCAGCAGACTTTGGCATCATCCATGTGGCACTGGGTTTAGGCGCATGCAGAATATCAGAGCTGTGGGGTCAGGAAGGCTTCCATCCAGATTTCAAAAGAAGGCCTGGGAGGCCAGGCAGTGTGCCCCTGAGAAAGCAGTGTGTGAAGCTGTGCATGTGAAGCCAGAGGTACAGTAGAGACCCCAGAAGTTTGGAGAAAATAGGAACATAGGTCATTTGATGAAAACTGTAAGGAGGAAGCAGTGCAGGCCCACCAGAAGTACCACAG